TTCAAGATCATCAAGTCCAACCATTACTCCAGCACCACCATGTCCCCTAAACCATGCCCTGAAATCCAAACGGTTTGCATCTTTCTAGGTTATAAACCACTTGGAAGCTAATTGTAGTACAGTTTAGGGTAAAAATAAGCAAGTGGAAATAAGATACCTGCGGCAGCCACCCACCCACCCGTTCAGTTTTGAGGGAAATTTGGGAGACAACCCGTCTTAAATCCACTTTAAAGGATTCTGTTACAGTTTTTCTCTCTTACTGCATTCATCATCATCATCCGAGCTTTTGTTTAGTTTCCCAGAGGTTTGGTTTTCCAAGAACGAATCACGGAAGATAATCAGTGGAGTCAGAAACATGAACAAGTATCTCCTTCTTCAAGTATTAAAACTACGGGAGTATTAATTTTAAAAGGGAAAGATGAAAAGTCCTTCTTTTAGTTAAGAAGTTAAAGTTTAATGGACCTTAATTTGATGTCTTATTAGCAACAATTGGTGAGATAAATTAAAAAGCTGTATGTTGCAATGATGTGCAAATAAAATTCTTGTTTCTGCAGCTTGTTTCTGGCATAAAGCTTGGCCGCCGAGTATTCCAACTGAGGTGAAAAGAACAGACGCTAAATGAATAGCGAAGGTTGTTACACAGAATAAGAACTTGGCCTTCCTCCTGCTCAACCTGAGAACCCTTCCTTTTAGCTAAGTGATCCTTTATTTAGTTCATTGCTCCCTAGTGGATAGTTTCGAGATAGTTCTTTGAAGTATAGGAGTAAAAGACAAGAAGAACCACAAGGTTCTTCAAAGGGAAGGTAATTTCTTCCAGGGAACAACTTTTAGAAAACCATGTTCTTTTAAAAGTCAAAGTTACCTCTTACAGCCCCCACCTAAGAAAACTGTAGAGAGCTTGTAGCTTCACAGAAAACACGGGTTGTATCATGTTTGAATTATATTATGACTTCCATATTTTGTGCTTCCTGTCTTCAGACAAATTAAGTCTGGTTTTTTTTCCTGGGGAGGCAAAAGGTGTCCCTCAACTGCATAGCAATAAGGTACGAATGGCCATCCTTCAAAATTCCCCCTGCATTTACAGCAGTGTGGAATGGTGAATGGTACATGAAAAATGGATCCTTTTTATAAAGTTTGGGAAATAATAGTGGTATTGGCTTCAGCTTGTTCAAATGACTAGAAATCTCTATGGTGGTTATAGAAATATGATGATACTGATGCACAAACTAGCACTGGGAAACCAACCCAAACCTATAAAATGGACCCAAATCTAGCACCCAAAGCTATGAAATGTGAGAAGCCGTACTTACACCGCAATTTCTTGCTTTTTGTTACATTGAGACCTACTTGGTCAAGGGAACATGCACATCCCACGAGGGAGACACCTACAAGAGGCTAACAGTAATAAAGATCTATATATTTCTTTGTTTCATAATGAGGTTTATGTCTGGAGAAATTAAGTGTTTAGAACTATACTTCTGTGTCACTAGACATCCTTTTTTTTTTTCTTCCATTTTAGTTCTCTCACTCATCCTTTCATACTATTCCTGAACAGTCATTACTCTACTTACACATCAAGCATACTTCGCATAACTTGAATGGCCACGAGGCTTTAAAATAGGAGTAAGTTATTTTAAAATTCTCATCCTTCTAATGAAATACATATATATATAAAAGAGAAACTATTAGAGAAACTAAAACACACCAAAAAAAATGTTTACCCTTCTTGAAGAAGTAGGGCGTGATGACTGGATCTAACATTAAGAGCCAACACATTCTTACCTGCAATATAAGCGTACCGTACTAGATCATAGATAAAGAATCACTCTATAGTGGTGTTTTTTAAGAAGGACAGCTAGAACATTAGCTTCATGAGACACAATGTCGTACTGATTCTCTAATATCACCCACTGGTACAATTTGTTGCTCCATGGTTTTGGGGAATAAAAGAAAGCAGAATGTTAAACCAAGGAATGACAAAACGACCATCACAAAGCAGTTGAATGGCTACAACACTGAAATAATAGAATTATTGGTATAGGATAAAAAAGGAAAGTACAATACGAAATTAATTAATAACCTTCCAGAAATAGTCATATAAAATACATATTATATTTTCTAACATTACTTTAGAATGGATTTTTGTAAGCAGATGAGTTGCTACACGTAATACTTAAACACCGTGGGTATTTTAAAACTATTGCCTTGGATTATGCATCTCCTAAAGCTCTTGTCGAACACCTTTGTCAAAACATGTACTAAGGAGTTACTCCTGTAAAATGCTGCTCTCCCAACCTTATCACAGAAGATCCCTCTGAAGTTAACTTCTGTCTAGAATGCTGAGTATACCAAGGATACTTCGGCAGAACTCTACCCTAACTCACGCTCTCTCTGAAGCTGGGTGACACACGGGCGCCCTCCCATTGGTGGTTGCACTGGGTGAATGTTCAAACCGAAAAATCAGATGTTCTGCTGGATGTGAACTGTGCAAACAATTCTACATTTCAATGTCTTATACAGATTCTAAGTATTCTTGCTGATGAGCATTACCGCTTCCAAACAATTCAGCTGATTCTGTAGAACAGCAAGAATTATCGTGCTTCTATCCACTCTTTCTTTTAATTGCAACATCTATTATGTACACCACTCAAAATGCTCTATAAACCTAGATCCCGATATATCCTGCAGTTCTTAGAATTCTGTTTGCTTAAAAGTATGACTGTATCTGGCGTGGAAAATTAGGGCATTTGTTCCGAAGCAGAAGTGAGGTACTCTGTTGGCCCATCGTATAATTCGCACCGGCTATTTCATTTTCCAAAAGCTGCTCCCCCTTCTCCTACCCACCAGACCTCCCAGGTCTTCCCTGACGCAGGAAGTACTCTGTGTACCTGACTTCAGCGGAATCTGATGATGCTTGCTGGCTTGGCTCAAAAATTTGAAAAATTGTGCAACGTCGAAAGCGCAGAAACGGTGGAGTTCAGTGAACGAAAGGGAAGCGCGTTTAGTCTGAGGGGAATCGGCTAACGCAGGAATGCAACAGGAGTGTCGACTGTTAAAATAAGGGAGACATCCTTCCCGTCTACTGGAACCAGAAAAGGTCCAACTATATTTGTACAGAAAGAGCAGGATGAAAAAAAAAGTAGGGAATAAAAGAGATTGGTAGGAGGGACTAAGTAGTGTGGGCAGATGCCACTCATTTCTCACACTAGGCTTTAGCTACAGTGTGTAAGAAACAACATTGTTTTATGGCTGAAACCTCTAGTTCCTACAAGAATTTACTCGTTAAATGCAAGCCTACTCTAGTTGTGTATCTTTTTGCATGCAATCTTTCAGATTTCAACTACCATCTTATGAGGTAAGATAACGAAGATCTTAAAATAATCTGCATTTCTTTATTTTATAGTTTAAATTTGGGAGTCAGAATTTATTGGATTAAAGCCGGCCAAATCAACATGAGCTATCTCACACGTAACGAACTGCGATAACTGGGTGCGTGTGGAAAATACTGAGACCCATCCTCTGAGACATTTAGGGGCAACGGGAAGGGCAGAGTATCCTGCAGAGCTCTGAACGGCACACGGGAGGCTGCCAGAGCCCAGCTGCTGGAGAGGAGCTCGCTCGAGAGCGGAGATCAATCCCTTCCCAGTAAGCAGAAGTGTCCGAGATACACCCGTGGCTCCGGCCAAGCTGGGGAGCAGCACCCGCGAGAAACCTTACGTTCAGGAATTTCCCCTCTGTCGTACCACCCGAAGTCAGAGCCGTCTGTTTTCAGAAAGAGGAAGATGCCTTTTTTTCACTCTTTCAAGTCTCAGCCGGATTTGACTGGGTCGAGCAACACAGCTTTAACGGGAACTCTGGGATGGGGGTTGCGGGGGGAGAGACTGCGCTATATGAAGGAGCAACAGAAGGGGTTTAGTACGGAGTCCTAAGTTCTATGCTACAGTGAGTTTTGATATACTAAGACCCAGTAAGTTCTGATTTGGCTGGGCAGACCAGATTTCAAGAAACGAGGTTCTTGAAAATTCTTGAAATCTTCCTCAGCATCTCAGGAACTAGGGATTAATTTTGTTTGTTTGGCTGAAGGTTTAGGGCTGCCAGCTGCTCAGTTCTTTAAAGTGCTATTGATTGATTTGGGAATTATTAGCAATTGCAATAGTGATAAATAAATTTGTAAAACTAGAAGAGAAGAGAATACGTAGAGCTGTTTAACACCATGACAAAACAAGGGTTTTTACTTCTACAAAGCTTTTCTGTTACAGATGGATACAAATAACTAGGGAGGGTCAATCCATAATCTCCAGATTACTCTCACGGTTTAGAAAAAATTCGCTTTAGCAAATATCAGTCTCCTTTGGAGCGGGGGGATTCTGAAGATCCTTGCCTATCTCCTGAAAAAAATTCTAAGAACATGGAAGATGCTGAGGAAATCCTGAATTTTATGATAGGCAAGTGATGATAGCTTGTTTTATGGCTAGAGAAAGTTTTATTTATCCATAATAAACTTAATGAGAAACTTAAACTTTTCAAAATTATCTACAGCAGAAACTTCTGATTCATGAGGAATCAGACCTTAAAGGTAACATTTAAGGCTAGAAAAAAGTAAAGTTGTTTCCACTTCATTCTTAATTTCCCTTTCCATGTAAAGGTATAATTTTCTTGGGGTTCCCTCGGGATAGTACTATCTATAAACCTTCCAGGAAAAACTGGTAAGCCTGCTCAGGAAAGAAACCATAAGGGTTGGGAAAATGTGACATCCGCATTTGGTTTTGTTTTGCCGTTTGCGTACATTTCCTCAAACACTAGAAGACAGTCCCATATATACGGTTACATTTTCCAGCAAGTGTTGGCACTGGCTTGGACATGTGGCTTTGTACGATGATTTCAGCGTTGCTCAGAAACACACAGCCTTCCCTGAAGCACAAATAAGCCAATGCCTAACCATCACAAACGTTCTTTACTGGGATATAAAAGCGTATATTGAAAAGAGTGGGATTGCTTACCTCAAAAATATAATCTTTTCCATCCTTTCCATGTACAGCTTTAACAGCACAGATGTCCAAACCACCAAATATTTCAGAACAGGTGTCAACCCAAAGCTTGTACCTGTTTCATAAAAATAATTGTTTTCTGTGAGTATCTCATCAGGCTCTTGTTTTTCGATAGGCTTAACCTAATAATGTATTTTATATTCAGCATTTTCACTATATTATCAGTTTTACTGAACTTATATTTCCCAGAACAGTAGCTTAGAGACACTGGCCCGATTACTCTACTTTTCCCAGTAGAATCCAGAAAAGCCGTGGCTCTGTAACCCGACCTAGTGTTATGCTGGATCCCGTCCCAGTTTATATCGGTCCCAACACGTGTCTGCTCCAAGCTGCGAGCAACCTGGAGGTAAGACACGCTGGAACGCACACAGCGCTTAGCTGCACCCCAGCCCGCGCTGCCAGTGCCCGGCGCTAGTACAGCTGGCCGGTTGCGGCTCTGCCTCGCGCGAGAGCTCCACGGGCAGGGCATTTATCAGCTGCCCGGTTTTTGTGGCTTCGGCCGTGCCAAGGGCTTTTAGAAAGCAGGGAACAGGGCTTCCGTTCTCCTGTGGAAATCTAACTTGTGCATCTGTGCACAGATTCAGGCGCAACAAACCTCTTGCCTATTACGCTTGGTAGTGTACTCAACTGCGGATGGGTTTTATTCTTTTATCAGGAAAACTGGAATGAGAGTCTCGATCTTAAATTTCGGACCCAACTGTATTCCAAAGTAGCAATGATAGATTTATATGTACACCGCTTAACAAGGCAAAAGAAAATTAAGACAAAACAACTTTTAAGATGATGAAGAGAAACAGCCGTACGACACTACGTAGAAGTTACGTAGCATGCAGACGAGGATGATAATCTTCATGAAGGATTAAAGACAACTACAGTAAAATTCAACAGAAATTTAATGAATTCTGAGGAATTCTACAGATCCTTAAGAGAAAAAAAGTGTTTCATACAGTATTGAACATAAGAACTATTCCATTTCATTTCTAACCTCATGGTAAGAAATACGGACTGGGGACTGGACAGTTTACCCATTCCACGTGCAGTAATATGATTTATTTTTTGTGCATGAAGAGCTTTATCCATCCAATGAATAGAAAGATTATGTGACTAACAAAGGAACGAAGTGGGACTTACTAGAAGAAGAGTGAGGCAATTCCTGGGATCAAGTACAGAGCTGCTAGTGACGTAACAGGGAGCTGAGAGCTCAAACACTACTTTGCTGAGAGCGTTCTGAGGTGATGTAAGGGGCGTGCGTTTGCTCGAAGGCAAGGATGGCCGCACAGGACGCGAAACAGCATTGAGAACATTCATTAACTGAACGGACACCGGTAAGTGATGATATGATCTTGAAAGGTGGAAGAGGCAGACATCACAGTGCCACCGAAGGACATGTTTTGCTTAAAAACCCCCATTTTAAAGCAGACATAAACTTTTTTCTCTCTCACAGGCTCGCATTTGAGTATAAATGAGAGCTATTGCCTTTTACAGACCCTTTCCTGCTCTTTCCCGATCCAGCCTTTGAACCACGACGACAGATTTGCCACATCATAGTACTTTCCATCGCAAAAAAAATGATGTAATAAACACAGCATTTGACTTCACTGTATGATCAAAGGGAGCTCATTGCTGGGCTGAGAGTCTTACCCATATATAAATATCTTCAGTAATAGCATCCCTTCCAAGTAAACTTATTAGGCCACATTCTTTATATTTTCTTCTATCAAGTCTGTTCCAGTGGAAAAGTTTTTCTTTTAAGCAGAATACAAAGAAATTTATAAAACTGTTTAAAAAAAACCCTGATGGTAATATTTTAGCAATGAAAAACATTTTTTTTTCCTGTGAGAAACATGTTTTTTCTCCAAAATGATAGATTTTTTTGGACGCCTGACAATTTCAACATCTGTAGATGCACTGACTGACTGGACAGCTTGCCTGCACTTGCTTATAAATAACTGTTTTTTGCTGTAAAATGTGTATTTTAGAAAGACATGAGGACAGCAAAACATGTCTTTAACAGTAAATATCTGGACTTTATATGAAAAAAAAAAAAGACGGCATTTTCTTTAAAATACCGAAAAATCAATCAGATTTATGAAAGCATTTTTAATAGTCTATCTTCTGCCAACAAACACGGAGCTGGAAAAGTACAGTTAGATTTGGAAAGAGAGGTACTGGACGGACTAGCCTGTAGCGTTTCAAAGCCAAGGCTTGCACAGTAGGTTTGACAAGAGGTCGCGGTTCTTATTTTCCCAGCGTGCAGCAGCCTTGGAACGGACAGATAATGACGTGCTGTTGTCCAGGGGTCTGACATGAAGTATCTGGTGTGCCGGACGGGGCGTGCACAACTAGCCCAGGTCTCTGTTCCTCTGGTCCCATCTTGGGCGCAGTGCCTCTCTGAAATAGAGGGGCCAACGGAGCAGGTAATACCGAAACGTGCTTGTTCTGCGCCTCGTCGTTGTCCCTTACTGTGCCACATTCTTCTTTCTTTTCTAAATTGCTGGACTAAGATTTGTGTTCAGTCAACAATGTCAATTCAGGCACTGCTTTCAAAACACTTCTTCCTAATTCACGGGACGTATTCCAAACGAAGCGCGCGTGCGTCAGGCGTGACTGCTTTTGGTACGCCGCTGCACTGCCTCAACTCTTCAGAAACTGCAGTTGTCCCTTCTCTTCCTTGCGCTGCTTCGTGCACTTCAGCGGGTAACCAAGCAAAACGCGGGGCTGCACGATACGCACCCCCTTCTGCTCTGAGAAGACATCCATCTTTTCTATGCTTTTGTCTTCATCAGCATAAAAGAACTTTTGTTCTGTCGGCTAGTCTTTTTCTAATGGGGAAATACCTGTTACGCTGGAATTACGTTACGTTCAAAAATGGAAGCAGAAGCAAAGCACGCAGAGCATTTCCAGCGAGGCAGGTTGGCCTCTCGCACCCGTTACCCGTACTCAACATCGCTGAGTTGTCCTTACGGCAAAACTGAAGTGGCTGGGGTTTT